TGAAATCTGAATATGAACCAGTACGGGCACAGATACTAGGAGGATCAGCTCTTCCTTCCTTAGAAAAGGTGTTTGCTCGGCTTCGAAGGATTTCGATTGGATCTACCGAGAATTCTAGTATCTCTGATAGGTCAGCCTTTGCAGTATCAAGGGCCATGGTGTTAGAGGTGGAGATCGGGGAGCTCAATCTGGCCGTAGTGGTAGCAGTGGACCAATGTATGGTCGTAGTGGTGGTGGTGAACCTATGTATAGTCGTGGTGGTGGACGTACTGGAGGTCGAGATTCAGGGGGAGTTCGTGGTAGAGGACGCAGTTCTGGTCCAAGAAGATGTACACACTGTGGTATGGATGGACATACCATCAATTATTTCTATGGTTTGCATGGTCCACCTTCAACTAGGCCAATCATGCGGTGACCAATGATAGTAGTTCCAGACAGGAGAGCCATCCAGTTGATCAGATGCCCTCTATATCCATTGATGTTCCCGGGAAGGAGATGATGAGTGTTCCACATGATGAGTATGAGAGGCTTGTTCAGGCCACATCTCAATAGAATACAGCCACCCTTGCACACTCAGGTATGGCTTGTCTGGCATCCAAACCCAATCCCTAGATTATTAACTCTGGAGACTCCAATCACATGACTGGAACTCCAGGGTGTGTTTTCCTCCCTCTCTCAGTGCCCAACATCACACTCTGTTACCCTTGCTAATGGTTCCACATCCTCCATTTGTGGTGTTGGTAATGTTAACATAGACCCTTTATCTTTATCCTCAGTTTTGTATGTCCCCAAGTTTCCTTTTAACCTTATGCTTGTTAGTAAGTTGACCAAATCTCTTAATTGCTCTATCACTTTTTACCCTTCTCCGTGTGTTTTTCAGGATCTCAAGACAGGGATGAAGATTGGTGGAGCGCATGAAGCTAGTGGACTGTATTACCTTGATGGTGGTGGAAGTGTGTCAACAACAGTGTTTTAAAACGTGGAGGTGTGACGCGAGGCGTTCCACTACCTAGAGGCGTGAGCGTAATTTAGAACGCAAGAGGCGTAAGCCTCCTTAAGAGGAGGGGGGTTATGAGGAGGATGAAAAGGAAGGGGGGATCTCATTTTTTATTTACTTTTAATAAAAATCTTTTATATTAAGAAGAATAAAGATGCATAACAATAGTTCAAAGGGGGGGTCTTGTCGATGCGAACCGAAGGGACAGGAAGCAAACCATTTTCTTTCCCCTTATCTTTTCTTCCCTTCCCTAACTTTTCTTTTCTTTCATTTTCTCTTTTTTTCTTCTCTTTCCTTTCCTTTTCTTTCCCTTTCTTTTCTTTTCCTTTCCTTTCCTTTCCTTTTTTCTTTTTTCTTTTTTTTTCTATATTTTCATACCAGATGTGCATGAGGCGCAAGAGGCATACGCCTCTAGCACGCCTCATGAGAAAAGCACAAAAGGCGTAGCGTACGCCTCAGAGGTGTCAGCGCCTCTGGCATACGCCTCTGGGCGTTTTGGGAGCGCCTCGCCTGGAGGCACACCTCCCACGCCTTTTAAAATACTAGTCAACAGCTCTTCAGGCATCTCTTTCTCCTCTCCAGTGGCACTATCGATTTGGTCATCCATCACTTAGGTTTTGAAGTCTCTTGTTCTATCGTTGAGTCATCTTTCTGTTTTGTATTGTGAGTCCTGTCAGTTTGGGAAACATCATCGTGTTCCCTTTAGTCCTAGGGTTGATAATCGTATGTCAAGTCCTTTTTCTTTAGTTCATTCAGATGTTTGGGGTCTAAATAAAGTAATGTTATACAATGTTATAAATACTTTGTTATTTTTGTTGATGATTATTCAAGGATGATGTGGCTTTACCTAATGAAAGAAAGGAGTTAATTGTTTACCATTTTCCAAAAATGTTATGCTGAAATTCGCAACCAATTTGGTGTACACATTAAAATTCTTCGTTCCAACGATGGCCGTGAATATTTTTATACACTATTTCAGGAGTATTTGGAACAACATGGCATTATCCATCAGACTTCATGTACCTATACCCCACAACAAAATGGGGTAGCTGAGAGAAAGAACCGCCACCTTTTGGAAACTACTCGGTCCCTTATGCATCATATGAATGTACCCAAACCCTTTTAGAGTGATGTTGTACTTACATCTTGTTTTCTGATTAACTGGATGCCCACGTCCATCCTTGAAGGTCACTCTCCTTTCACCACTTTGTTTCCTACATTGTCTCCGTTTCCCCTTTCACCTCGGGTTTTTGGGTGTGTCTGTTTTGTTCATAATTTAGGACCAGGAAGGGACAAGTTAGATGCACAATCTGTTAAGTGTATCTTCATTGACTATTCCCGGACCCAAAAAGGGTATAAGTGTTATAATCCTAACTCCCAACATTCCTTTGTGTGCGCTGATGTTACTTTCTTTGAGTCCATTCCGTTTTTCTCAGGCTCAGGTGATGTTTCTTCTTCCTCATCACCTCCTCCTCTTCCAATTCCAGTTGCGAATCCCATTCCACTTGTTCCAGCTATGACAAAGTCTTTGCCTCCGGTGCCACCTCCTGTTGAACGGCCACCCATTTGTCAAGTGCATACGCATCGCCAACATGTACCGGCTACTCCTCTAGCTCCATCACCGTCGACAGATCCGACAGTTGTTCCCACACCAGCTCCAACCCCGATTTCTGAACTTGATCTTCCCATTGCCTTGCAGAAAGGTAAACATAATTGCACTCTTCATCCCATTTCTAATTATGTTTCTCTCACTCACCTTTCTGCTTCCCATCGCCAGTTTATCTCCTTGTTATCCTCTATTGTTGTTCCCACAGATGTCCAGGAAGCCCTTGCCTCTCCAGGGTGGCGCCATGCAATGGAAGAAGAGCTCTCTGCCTTAACTCAAAATCATACATGGGACCTCACTACACTTCTTCCTGTTAAGCAGGTTGTCGGTTGTAAGAGGGTATACATTGTTAAGTATTTACCTGATGGTAGTGTAGAGCAATTAAAAGCTAGACAGGTTGTCAAAGGATATTCCCAAACATATGGTATTGACTACACGGAGACCTTCTCTCATGTTGCTAAGATTGGTTCAGTTCGTGTTGTGATATCTCTAGCTGCTATGTATGATTGGCCTCTCTTTCAGCTTGACATCAAGAATGCTTTCTTACATGGTGATCTACTTGAGGAAGTCTATAATGGAGCAACCACCGGGGTTTGTTGCTCAGTGTAGACTAAAGAAGGCCATATATGGACTTAAACAGTCTCCCCGTGCATAGTTTGGTAGGTTCAGTGAGGTGGTAAAGAAGTTTGGTATGAAACAGCGTAAGTTGATCACTCAGCCTTCAGTCATGACTCTCAGGCTGGAAAGATCTTATTGGTGGTATATGTAGATGATATTGTCATTACCGAGAGTGATAGATTGGAAATTGATAGGTTGAAGATTTTTCTGTAGGAACACTTTCAGATAAAAGACCTTGGTAAACTGAAGTACTTCTTGGGGATAGAAGTAGCAAGGTCTAAGCATGGTATTAATTTGTGCCAGAAGAAATATGTTCTTGATTTGTTAGAAGAAACATGATTATTAGGCCCCAAACCAGCTGAAACACCTATGGAATCAAATGCTAAGCTGAGCAGTGATATGGGTGAAGAGTTTGAAGATCCTGAAAGGTACAGGCGGTTGGTGGGTAAACTAAACTACCTAACCATTACTCGACCAAATATTTCATTTGCAGTTAGTATGGTGAGTTAGTTCATGCAGAAACCTCGGGTTCCACATTGGGATGCAGTTCTAAGGATTGTAAGGTATTTAAAGGGGGCTCCTGGTCGTTGCTTGATATATAGAAGTGGAGGAAAACTTGAAATAGAGGGATATACTGATGCTGATTGGGCTAGCTCTATGTCTGACAGGAGATCCACTACAGGCTATTGTACTTTCCTTGGGGGTAATCTGGTGACATGGAAAAGTAAGAAACAGATAGTTGTGGCAAGAAGCAATGCAGAGGAAGAATATAGAGCTATGGCACATACTACTTATGAATTAGTGTGGCTGAGAAACCTTCTACAGGAGATGGGATACTCTATTGACACTCCAATGAAACTCTATTATGACAATCAGGTTGCAGTCCACATCTCTTCTAATCCGGTGTTTCATGAGAGAACCAAGCATATAGAAGTTGACTGTCACTTTGTGAGAGAGAAGGTGCTAAGTGGAGTGATAGATATTGCACATGTTAACACAGGAAACCAATGGGCAGACCTGTTCACCAAAGGGTTGAATTAGGGGAGAGTGGACTACATATGTAACAAGCTGAGACTATATGATATATACTCACCAGCTTGAGGGGGAGTGTTAATGTCGACTGTGTAGGGGTATTTTGGGCTTTATATTTATGTTTAAAGCTGCTGATGTATAATGTTTTATTAGTGGTTGTGTCCCATACTTAAGTAGGGGCAAAGGAGTCTTCTTGTTTTTAAGTAGAAACATATAAATTAAATCTGGCCGACTAGAGAGGTGATTAATCTCTCTTGTTCGAACCAGAATTCTTCTTCTTCTCTTCTTCTTCTAGTCTTTCTATTACTTCTCCAATCCTTATTCTAACAGAATTCAAGTGCAGATTAGATTATAATAGCATCAAAGCTATGAATATAGTATTTGCTCTAGGTGAAATCTCCCTTTTTTGATAAAATTCACCCAAAACTTCTAACTAGTCTTCTTTTAAAAACTCTCATCAATCTTGATAGAATTCAATTGAGAAATCATCTAGTCCTCGGGCTTTAGATCTCTCCATTGAAAAAACAGCCTCCTTAATTTCTTCAAGACTACAATTTCTTTCCAGAGCTAGAGATTGGCTAGTTGACACTCTATCCCATACAACTGCGTTAAGTTTTAAGTCTTGGATTGTTAAGAAAACCTGGGAACAAAATTAGAACAGAAATCTACAATAAAATTATCTATTTCTAAGAAAAAAATACATTTATGCGGAAACTTAACTATCAAATGACAACAACATGATAATACCTCAAATGATAGCAAATTAAAGGCCAATAGGCAACGACGTAGAAACATCCCAAGATGGCTATTTGGATCCAAGATAATCTGGTCATCTTCCAAAATACTCGTCTCAGGGCCTCCAAGGATACCTGGCCAACTCATATTGAATTTAATGCAGAAGTGGAACTCTTTTGAAAAAGATGAGATATAAGTTATATAATAGAAAGGAGAACAAAATGATCACGATGAACTCACTTCGCAGACTGCTGAAAAGGTTAAATAAATCATCAGGTGAAGATAGAGCTGAGAGCTTGCGGGTTAGATGCTCACTTAACCAATGATTGAGTAAGCCACCAATTTCCTTGAGTTGATTTATAAGCTCATCCAACTGTGGCTCCAAAATATCATCACAGGACTACAAGACAAAATTTAACAGCACATATTATTTAAAGGCAAAATTGCAGTACCAAAAACTAACAAAATAATAACAGAATATAAGTTCCAGAATGCATCTGTAAGAGTAGAATTAGTATTAGACAAGAACTGCAAGCTGTCTTTCAATAAGGTGTGACTCCATAGAACCAGTGACACTACTCTAATCCTCAATACAAGAAAGGTGAAACTATGATACCATGTTGCATGGACATTAATAGGTGGGCAAAGTGCCCTGGTTCAACATGGTTGGATTTTGGTAAGATGACTCCTGGGTTGCTGTTTTCCTGTTTGTTCTATGCTTGTTTGACATAAGTCCATAACAACTTGAAGGGGATGTGATGCATCATGCAGGAGCTAAATTTGAAGAGAAACCATAGAGGTGGTTGTAGGGTTAAGTTTCAATCTTCTAGAAATTTACTATTTTTAGTGAAAATCAAAATTGCTATTAATGGAGGAAACTTTTCACTGAAGGCAAAGGAAATCACATTGGACCAATGTAAATGACTCAAACCAGATCATCAGACTCAGAAATAACAGGAGAATCTGGTTTTCTTAAACCCCAATTGTTAGTTTTTTGCCAAAAGAACATCTGACCTCCTATTTACTGGAGCAAAACATTAAAAACTGGCCGGGTTTTAGCAACCCATCTAGTTTTCAACAACCCACTTGGGTCACCACTTCATCATGTATTGTAAAATGATAATGAGGGGAATTGATCGCATAACCTTCTATTTACAAAAAATTGCACATTATCATTAAGCCACAACACCCGTTGTGTTTATTTTTTGTTTCTTTAATACCTATATTGACCAAATATATCATCATCACCATTTTTTTGAAGAGTAAGCGGAAAAATTTTATTAAAAACAAGTACAAGCTGTTCAGGTGTCAAGATAACACCTTTAATCAAATCAAGCATACATCAAATACTTCAGTTCAGATTGAACTGATTCGCATTACATGTTTGAATCTCTAAAATGCCTCAGAAATTCGCAGCAAAGTCTGAAGGACTGATTTGCTCAAATTCTTGAAGATCTATGACCCAGCTTGTGATGAGATTGCCAACCAAAGCCACAGTCTCTTCAATGCTTCTTTCCTTTCCTTCAAAAAGTATCCTATTTCTTTCCCCCCACAGAGACCAGCAAACTGCAAAGGGAATGCAGCTCCATACAATTTTAGCTTTCAAACTTCCTCTGAACTTTGGCCAAGTAGAAAAGATCTCTGCAGGAGATGATTGTTGAAAGATGGGCATCCAACTTGACACAATTTGGATCATCTTCACTATCATCTAAGCCAGCTCCCAACAATTTGGATCAGCTAATAAGAGTTTGGCAAAAGTTTCAATCCAGGCTGCCAACTTGACACAACACTCCTCCTTTATCCAGGCTTGGGACCAGCAGTGTAAGACAAGCTCACACTGGTAGAGTTATTGACCAAATATATTTGCATTTTTTACAAAAGCATCATTAAGACTTGAACCTAAGTCACTTGATTGACAATTAGAAAACTGTCCATTAAACCACAAACGTTACAAATGTTATAGTATATATAATATTACACTCTCAGTTCAATCAGCTGCAGATTTCTTTATTGTTAAGATTCAAGATGTCTTCAAGCATGGGGGACATGACTTCCAGCCCAGGGAATAATGCAACCAATATAGAGAATCCCAATTTGTCCAGCCTTCAAATCAATGATGTGAAGTGTTATGTATGCAGCTAGGAATGTTCCATTTCAGCCAAGTTGTTCGTAACCAGCCATGGACTTTTGGGTATATTAGGGTCTCTTTGATTGCTGAGAAAGGGATGGAAAAATGGAATATTCCCGAATGATTCCCTCTTTCTGGCATTTGTTTGTAGGAACAGTGTTTTGGGACGAGAAAATCGTGGGGCGTGGGATCCCAAAAACAGGCAAGCGGGATGACACTAAAACAGTGTGACCCCATTGAGAAAAGGAAAATAAAGACTCTCGTTAGAAAACTTATCGGGCTTTTCAGAACTGAGCCTCAAGAGATTGTCTCCATCGACCTTTACGTGTCCCAACGGTCAGATCTCCGGCAACTGCTCCGTCCGTCTCGTTGAAAGGTAAGACCAGATCGGTGAATAGCTTGCTTCAGCAATTCTTTTTTACCCCTTTTTCTTTCTTTCAATCCGTTATTCCTTCTTCCCCATCTTCATGTTTTCCCTTCAACAGCTGGAACAAGCCACACCCCTTGTCTTCCTTTTTTTTTATTTTGTGCTTCTCAGACCATGTTTCTCATCCAAGCCTTCACTAGATCGATCATTGCAGAGCACTCAGACATTGCTCATCAGTCAACACTCATGGAAAAACCCATCTTCCTGGTCTACCGTTGCAGAGTACTCAGATTTTGCTCCAATCTCCAACCTTCATTAAAAGGCATGAAGATCTACTATTTTACTGCTATGAAGAAACCCAGATATGGTTTTTCTTGTAAAAAGAAACCCAGCTGTGCATTTTTCATTCTTGTATATCTGTTTGTTAATACCTTTCATGCAGATCAATCTGTGAATAAATCAATATTTTTTTGTTTATGTTATTTTTCCTGTATACTTTCTTGTATATTTTGTAAATCTGAGAGAACCTATATGGTTTGATTACCCTTATCATTTGTAATTGCATTAGGCTTATTGATACTCAAAAACAAGTATAATATATGGAGTACTTGGATCAATTACTTAGGCAACTAACATTAGCCCGTTAATTAACACTCTGCCACTTTAAATTTCAGTAATGCACAATCCTTCACTTAACCAAGATTCTGCTTACTTTACCTCCCCCATTTCTGCTAACTTCATTAACCCCATCACAAACTCTCTTCCATAATCCCTACTCTCCTTTACAGCTTTATCCCAAACACCTCCTCTCCTCTGCCAACATAACTAAAACCATAACCAAATAACAAGTCCTATTAGAACCCCTGATTTCTTTTTGAACATCTTGTAATTCTCTGTCTCTCCCTCTCCTCCAACTATGTAAAATCTGTTTCATGAAATTGCTTTCATACCTAAAAAGAACAAAGTTTTAGCTACCCGTATTTCAGTACTGGTAGCCCTCTTAAATTCAATCTTTCAATTTATTTTGTTGAATGGTGTGGTAATCCTCCTAGTCTTCTACTAAGTTCGGTTGAGTAGAGATCTTTGTAATTTATTTTGTTGAATGGAATAGGTCTTAAGATAATCATGAATCTTTCCATATAATTTCAAATAACAGGTCTTAAAGTCATTCAATTTCTTTTTTAATCAACCATGATAGTTATCAGGTAGCCGCTGTCAATTATGAAAGTTGCATTTCAAATATAATAACCAAGGGTATTTGCACAAATTTCTTTAAATTTAACAAAAAAACAAGCCACAATATAGATCATGAGCCCTCAATATTGTTAAAACGAAATGTGAAGTTGAGAACATTGTCTTAACATTTGGCTCTTCTGAAACAATGCAATTGGGTTTTGCATTTTTATGCACTTGAATTGTCAAACTCTTTTTGAATGATTTGTCAAACTCTTTGACCCCAAAACCAACTGTCATGAATTATATTAGCTATATTGAAGTGCTAATTAGCAGCCACTAAACCATATCTTCGTGGTAGTAACAAGATTTATTTTATAGAAGAGCTAACTGTCATGAATGGTCCTATTAATATAACTGTAGATTTTTTTATTGGTAACATAAATCTCTTTCAAAATATTTTCTAGGAATTAGAAATGAAATAACTATAAGTCCAGATTCATGAAACTTTCTAGCAGAAGACCCACCAAAAAATCCATGAATTTTGTAGATTTCCTGGCCTCATGTCTAATTAATTAGCTTTCAGATCAACTTTTTTTTGAATGAATAGCTTTCAGATCAACTTGTTCAACTCATTTACTTGAATGCATAAAATTTCAAGTGATATTTGCCATTTTGTGTCTCGGATTTCATCATAGATGTTGGATTTTATTTAAGAGAACTATATGTCTGCCACTAGGGCAGCACTTGTGAAGCACAAAACTTGTATAGGAGGATTTAATGGTAAACTCAACTATTATCCCCAGCCATGAGTGAAAGAGAATATGGCATGCATCAAAGAAATTTCAGATATGTAGTTCAAATCGCATCTGAGTTAGAAACATATAATTCTTCAAAATTTCAGAAACTTAAATCCATATTTACTCCAAACTTAAGGTTAAAGAAAGTTGAAATAAAAAGTTAAGAGGATAGTACACACGCTTATTCATGGGTGAGTATTGGTTTATTTTTTTCTTTCACCATTTTTTTCCAGCATGCAAACTATATTGACATGCAAGAATGAGTCCCCTCGTTATGCTGTTATAAGCTATTCTTGCCACCCTACCCTGTTTGATCTCCAGTTCTTGGAGTGATCAAGATTGTATCTTGATATCGTTTCTTGCTAGAAGAAACAATCTTGAAGTTGTGCTCACATCCCTGCGTGATTCTTGCTGAAGAATCTCTTTGCTAATCTTGCCTCACCCTAAACTGTGTCATCTTAAGTGGAGGAAAGATTTGGTGAACTCTTTGGGCGTGAACACTTGCGTTGGGAACTACTGTTGATTCTGTATCAGGTATATCCCTACATTAATCTTGGTTTCAGATTTGGTCCAGTTTGTTTCAAGAACGAACCTTGAAAAATGCAGTTTTTCTAAATTAGGGAATAGGATTTCCGAAAGGGAAAAAGAAAATTTTTGAAATTCCGCCTAGCCACCCTGCATGGTTCGGCCATCCATTTGATGGATCTCCCATCCCTTCAGTTTTTTGATTTGGGTGATGGCTCTAAATAAGTGCCTATCGAGAGCTAATTTGGTTAGGAGAGGAGTTCAGCTTTCTGACCTTAGTAGTGGCTTATGTGGGCTTTTGCCAGAGACAGTTGATCATCTTGGCATCCACTGTTCAATCTCTGTAAGAGTTTGGGAAAACTTTTTTAAAGCAGCTGGGGTCTACTGGGTTATGCTTGATTCAATTAAGGATCTCTTATGCTGCTAGAATTTGCCAGGCCTAAAGAAAATGGGTAATCTGATCTGGAGAACCACCCCTGTGGCTGTCTTAGTAACTTTATAGACTGAAACAAACAACAAAATTTTCTGCAACAAAGTGAGAAGTCCGGAGGAATTAATTCAGGTTGCAGTGTCTAAGCTTGCTTCTTGGCTGTCAGTTAACTCTGAGTTTAAGTCTCAGAATCTTTTCCATTTGCTTTGTACTCAGTCTGTTTGGAGTCTATAACACGTCTTCTTTCTGGGTGTGAGATGCCCAGAAATAGCTGTATCTTTTCCATCCTTCTTTAATAAAATTTTTGCCTTACCTTCTCAAAAAAAAAAAATCTTTTGGGGATGGATTCTCGTATAAATTTTCTTGCAAAACAAATACTGAAAAATGGATTTTCTCACAAAAATTTTCTCAGCAAACAAACGCATTATGATTAACTGGGAAAATAAATTTTCCTTTTCTCAGCCCAATTTTCTCAACAATCAAACAGACCCTTAATGAGAAAATTAAGGAGACAAAGGAAGACGAACCTAACAAATAGACTAGGTGTAGGGAGAATGTTTCTGTCCTGTCTTGGTTATTAACCTCTATGATTCCCAAAATTGCTAAAACAGTCCAGCACTTTCCTATAGCCTTCAAGATTTGGGAAAAATTTTCCAAGACCAACAGACAGTGGAAGAACAATGCTCAGATCTATAAATCAATCCAAGATTTAGCAAAAAGGAGAAATGTAGGTTGCTACTTATTGCTACACCACCATTTGGTGATTGATTGGGACAGCAATGGTGATCAGAAGTATGAGAAACAAGTTCAAGAAAGAAGTGCCTTTAGTTTCTTGCAGGCCTAAACCCATCATGTGAGAGCATACAATCACAGATATTCAGAAGAGATGAGCTCCTAAATTTGCAACATGTTTATTATTTTGTAAGGAATGAAGAGATGAGGAACGAAATGCAAACTGATGTCACTATTCAGCTAGTCGAGTAATCAGCACAGTAGAAAACTCAGAACTGCAACCTGATTTGATAACAGTGACAGAAAAAAAGAGTTAAAAGAATTTCTTGGAGAGAAGAGAAGAAAAGGGAGAAGCCAATAATGATCTGACCATAGTTAGGACCAAAGGGCTTGGACTGTAAGGATGGCAAACCCAAAGCATAAAATAACAATTATAATTGGGCCTAATTGTAGGCCCAATCATTATGGTCAAATGCTCCTTAGAAGTTAGAATAGGAAACAAGTTTGACCATAGTGGAGTCCCTGTCCTAGGATTTGATTCAAGAGAGAAGGAAACTTCTATATTGGTTCAGATGGACTCCTGTGGGTCCCATGCCTTACAAACTCACTCTTCCACACTTCTCTTGAGAATTAGAAAGTTCATAGGGCTAGTACAGCCAATTTTTGGAAAGTCCGTATGTGACTGAGATTTTAACTAGTTTGACTAGGAAAGTGTAATCTACCAAAACAAAAGACTAGGAAAGTTGCATCAGAATTAGGAAAGCACTTGTAACTAGCTCTTTCCTAATTTGATCGGGACTTTATTTGGGATTTAAATAGGTCTCTTAAGGCTTGGAAAAACCCTAGTTCAACCAGCATATTAATGCTGTCTCACATCTCTTAATTCAGCCAACAACTTGATCATTCTTTGTTAGATACAATCTAACACGTTGGGTGTTACTCTTCAACCTATTGGAGATTATTTTGTACCAGTCCATAGCAGCCATCTTTGGTGAATTGGACTCATTGAAGGATATGCTATTAGCTGCCAAATTCATTATACATCCCAAAGGAACCAGATTTGGAGCAAGAACAATGTTGTGCCATGTGCCATCTGCAATCTCTTGTCAGGTTGTGAGAGACTTTGGCAGTTTGGGTGTGAACTACACAGTGACCTGCTGCACTTGTAGTGGAATTTTCTTCAGGTAATCTTCTTTTAGTTTGTGTTTTGGGTCTGAAATAATGTGGTTCAATCCCCTCTTTGACCTAGGTTTTGGAGAAAAATGTTTCTCTTTGTGAAACGTTTCAGCTTAGTAGCAGTTTATTGGTTTGAATTGTTAATTGCAAATCACCTACTACCTAGATGGTTTCACCACTTCCGCTGCAATCCCACTTTCAGATTCAAAGGGTGAAGAAATTTCTAGCTTCTGAATTTGAGTTTTGAGTTTTTGGCTGGGAGTTCTTTTTTTATTTTCTTTTTTTCTTTGTGTGGGGGGGATTTACGGTGCTTGGGTTTGGTTGTTTGTTGGTTTTTTCATTGGTAGAAGGGTTGGGCTTCTGGTGCGATGTATGATCGGGTTTTGATCCAGAAGTGCATTTGGAAGCTGGAGTTACACACTGCCTTTTTACAGATAAGGAAAGGAGCATTAATTTTGGGGACGTAATCAGAATCTAGGAAAGAAACATGCTTGCTTTATACTTTGGCACTGTTGGAGATGGAGACTTAACAAGGGTGGAATTGTGTGCTGTCTTGCAGGGTCTGAGAAGAGTGAAGTCACTAAACTATAGGAATCTCACAGCCACAGACTGACTACATGCATCATATTACCAAGTTTAGAGACTCTTCTCCAGTAAACTCACATTCTTCTATCCGGCTATCTTTTGATGGTCCACGCCTTAGTTCAACATTGAAATGTCAACAGCCTAACTGCCTAAACTCGATCAGTTAATTTGCTTTCAGACCAATTCCATCGGATAATCCGAAATGAGACGAATCAGACAAATTTTAGTGTATTCAGTAGGGAAAAGTTTACGACTCTAAGTAACACACGAACACACACCTTGGTTCCATCCTACGTATTCTCAATAAGCAAGGACTGAACGAACCGTAAATGTAATACAGAACGAAATGCAAATAGCCAAACAAAGCAAACCCCATAAAAACCAAATTCGGTTTCATTTTAGGGATTTTTTAAAACGAACCTTCGTCAAGGCCAACAGAAACAAGCCGAGGCGATTGTGCTGGGAGACGGAAGAGAATGGAAACGGCACTGATGCTTGAGCCGGTGGCGCGTAGATCTGGAGGAGAATGCACACAGAGACTTTGTGCGGCGTAATGGCAAATGCCCCAACCGGTTTCAAACTTCCCGCCATAAATATATTCTATCTAACAGCAACTGACTGGTTCCCGCGAAACCTGTTCTTCTCAGAGCATTGACCGTCGTCAGTTCTTCTCAGAGCATTGACCGACAGGATAGAGAACGTCTATGGCACCGGATTGTCGAGCTGAACGGAAAATGGCGGACGAGGTGAATGGGGTTTTCAAAACAAGACCCGGGAAAGAGAAAGAGTGGTAATGAGCGCGCAAATCATATTTTACAGCATCACTTTTTCACATCTCTTTGGGAAAAATATAAAAATCACCCCTAAGGTTTCTGACAATCATAGAAACCTCCCCTGAAATTTCAGTTTAACAAAAAACTTTCTCTATAGTTTCGAAAAATTCTTGTAGTTACCTACTGATGGAGGGTGATTTGGCACGACCTAGTAAGTAGAGGTCACGTGGACGTGATCTACCCGAAAGATGACAACTCAGTGAAAAGAGCCCAGTCAGCAAAAGTTAGAGCTCGGGTACTCAATCACCTCAGCCCAAAACCACCTCGGCATAGAGTCACCTCGGCATAAAGGCATCTCGGCACCTATTCCAGCCCGGGGCTCAAGACCCGAAATGACACATCATCAACCCCAGAAGCTGCCCAATGAACTCCGAACCTCACGGGATCATGCCGCAAAATGGCAAGCCTTATCCTCTCCTCGCTCGAATCGGGCGGAGACGATAGACCTCCCTAACTGATACGATACTCCCTAGATAAAACGGGAACTGACCTCATCCATCCAGGCCGAAGATCCCGTAACTGTTCAGTGAGGTTCACGGCAGCTCTATATATAAAGGCAACAACCCCTCTAGAACCCAGGTGCGCATATATCACCTGCACACTAGCACTCTAGCTCACTTTTAGTTCGCATCTACTGCAAGAATACTAACTTAAGCATCGAAGCGACCTCGTCAGGTTAGCCACCCCGAGTTCTCTAAGCTCACTGTTTTGTAGAACAACCTACTTGTCTCACAGCAAAGCTCCAAGTCATCCTCCAGAGGGGAGCATCCAGTTCGTGCTCCATCAATTGGCGTCGTTTGTGGGAAACAATCGAAAGGTCATCCCAATTCTACTTACAGTCTTAGACTCAGTTTCAACCTCAATGGCATCATCCAACCACAACGGAAAGAGCGACATGAACATCACTGGGGGGGGCAAGATAAGTAAGCAGTAGTTCCCCAAGGATCTTTGGTGACTATCGGCCAGTTCACCATCCCCTTGACCGCCTTCGGGGTCCTGTTGCTGTCCATGCCGCACACTACCCAACAAGTGAGTGTACCACTCCCCCAGGTGAGCACCACCGAGCTCACTAGCACATCCGCTAGTCTGCCCCCCCCCCCCCTCGGTGAGAGAACTTCATAGGTACTGGTCCCTCCCTCGGGATGAACCCTGCCGTGGGGCACAGCAGGTGACCGGCGTACTCCCCCTGCTTCCCAAAGAGAAAGCTCGAGAGATAGACCCGAACCCGGCTAGCTTGAAAGGCTCAGTCAGCAAAATCTAAATACGGATCGTCAGCCCGAGGCCCAAGGTGCGGGCTCGAGAAGAGACCCCTCGGTTCCCCGTGATAGCCAGCAACAAACGCGCGATGAAGAAGAGGCGGTGAGGAAAACCCCTGAGCCACCTCGCCCTACCCTTCGAAGTAAGATCGAATTACCTAACAATAATGAGGCTCACAGTATGAATGTTGCACCACCAAAGAAGCAGCAGCGGCGATGCCGCAAAACTCACCGTTCATCAGCAAAGAAACGATCCACCAAAGAAGCCTCACCATCCAGTGGATCAAGGTCAAGAAAGAGAGGAGGTGAGCTCAGTGGCTACAAGAACAACGCCTGCTCTCTTGCGTCGGCCATCCCCCTATCACCCGAGCTTCTAGCGACCCCAATGCCGAAAGATTTCAAGGTACCATCGCTAGACAAGTATGATGGTTCCTTTGATCCCAACGATTACGTCAATGCATTCCAGTCTTAGATGCATCTCGCGGGGGCCGACGAGGCTTGTATGTGCATGGCTTTTTCCACCACATTCAAAGGAGTAGTTCAGACCTGGTATAGAAACCTTGCACCAGGTTTCATCAGAACCTAGGCACAGTTCGCGGACATGTTCACGGCCCACTTCATCACTAGTAAAAAGTGCCCGAAATCATAGGAGAGTCTACTGAACGTGGTGCAAAGGGAAGGAAAGTTAATTCGAAGCTACACCAAGGGCTTCAACAAGACATGCCTACAGATACCGGACCTTGACCTAGCAGTACGTCTCACCGCAGCGCAAAAAAGAATCACTCACAAAGAGTTCAAATGGAATGTCGTTGTCAACAAGCTGAAGAACATTACTAGGAACCCGAATGTCTATTGTCACTTTCATCGGAACCATCGCCACACCACTGAAAACTGTAGAAATCTCTGCGATGAGATCGAGGAACTAATCCACCATGGATACTTGAAGAAGTACATTTTGCATGAGGAAAAAGGACAGGGGGACCGACAGAGAGATCGAAAAAAAGATGCTCCAGAAGATAGTAGACGGAACGAGCAACTACCTCGGTAGTTACCAGAGGAGAGACCAGCCCGCAGCGTGATCAATATGATCACTAGCGGATCCATTATTGTGGGGTGCACCTCGGCAGCAGGAAGGACATCGATTCGTGAATTGGAGAATGAAAGCGAAAACCCGCCAAAGCAAGCTCGGCTCGAAGAACCTATCTACTTCATTGAGGATGATGCGCGCAGGATTCAGTATCCGCATGATGATGCCTTAGTCGTGAAGCTCATAATCAATGACTTCGAAGTGAAGCGGATCCTAGTGGACTTGGGCAGTTCGGTGGATATCCTCTTCAAGGAGACATTCGATAAGCTGCAGTTATAGCGGAGCGACCTAAAGCCAACAATACTAGTGGAAGAGGTCAAGCCCCTTGGTCGGGTCACAATACTAGTGGAAGCAGGCACGTGATCGAACATCGTACGATTCGAGCACACTTTCCTGGTAGTCGGGACTCCATCCCCCTACAATGCGATCATAGGTCGGCCTATCACACACGTTCTACGTGTGATAGTGTCCACCTATTACTTAGCGATGAAGTTCCCAACTGATTACGACGTGGGGGTCATGCGAGGTGACTAGCTTGAATCCCGTAAATGTTATGTGGCCACCGTGAAAGGAAAAGCAAAACTGGTGGAGGATATCGAGATTGAACAACCAGCGGAACATACAGAGAAGCGAGCTGCCCCAACAGAAGAAACAATCCACATACTGGTTCTGAGACAGAACCGACCAGAACTCTTCAAATCGGTGCCTTGATCAACGAGCCACTTCGAACTCAACTAGTAAGTTTTTTACTTAAAAATTTAGATATTTTTGCTTGGTTTGTGGCAGAGATGCCCGGTATTGACCCTAAAATAATAACTCACAAGCTTAATGTCAACCCTTTAGTCAGGCCAGTAAGACAAAAGAAACGCAACCTTGCCCCAAAACGGTGGAGGGTAGTCGATGAGGAGGTCGGGAAGCTCCTAGCGAAAGACCAGAGCAGGGTGCCAACCCGGTTCTGGTGAAAAAGGCCAACAACAAGTGGTGTATGTGCGTCACTACCTCAACTTGAACAGAGTCTGCCTTAAAGACTGCTTCCCACTACCAAAGATTGACTGCTTAGTAGACGCGACCTCGGGGCACGAGTTATCAAGTTTTCTGGATGCCTACTCCGGTTACAACCAGATTAGGATGGATCCTGCTGACCAGGACAAGACCGCACTGTAACTGAGCTCAGGCTATACTGTTATAAGGTTATGCCCTTTGGATTGAAAAACACTGGGGCAACATTCCAACACCTTGTAAATAAATTTTTTGAACCATTAATTGGCAATAAAATTGAGTGTTATGTTGATGACATGGTCGTGAAGACCCAACTCTCAAGCTCTCTGTTAAGTGATCTGAATGACGTTTTTTGAATTCTAAGGAAGTATAACATGAAGTTGAACCCAAGAAAATGTGTCTTCGGGGTCACATTGGGTAAGTTTATAGGTTACATAGTGAATCGACGCGGCATCGAAGCCAACCTAGAAAAAATTAAGGCCATTTTAGATATGAAACCACCTCGAAAAATAAAGGAAGTCTAGAGACTCACCGATTGAGTAGCAACCTTGAGTCGGTTCATGTCTAAATTGGCGGGTCGATGCCTACCCTTTTTTAAGGCAATAAAAAATAACGAGCACTTCGAATGGACCGAGGAGTGCTAGTTTGCGTTTAACGAGTTGAAAAAATATTTAAGTACCACTCTGGTTCTAACTCAACCTGAAGAAGGAGATGAGTTAAAACTGTACCTCACCACGAGTGATGAGGTAGTCAGCTCGGTACTGATTAGAGAAATAGATTGGGTCCAGCGACCCGTCTACTATGTTAGTAAAGTTTTGCAAGATGCCAAAACCAGGTACCTCGAGATTGAGAAATTAGCGTACGCACTAGTCATAGTAGCCTGAAAACTACGCTCATACTTCCAAGCCCACACTATTGTTATCCTCACCAACAGGCCTCTGAGGCAGATTTTGCTCAAATCTGAGGTGTTTGAAAGATTAACAAAATGGTCCATCAAACTGAGCGAATACGATATCCGGTTTGAGCCCCGTCCAGCGATCAAAGTCCAAGTCTTGGTGGATTTCATCACAGAATGCATGTTTAGTACGCCGACCCTGGAACTGATTGAGCCCGCCAATATGTTGGGGGAATTGACCAACGCGGCACCGGTCCCCGCGGTTAAGCCAACGTGGGATGAGGAGCCCTAGATCCTCCACGTAGATGGCCCATCGAATCTGCGAAGAAGTGGTGTCGGATTGATCCTGTACGGACCAAGCGAGGTGAAGTTGGAGTACGCCCTTTGATTTGGATTCGAAGCGTCAAACAATGAGGCAGAGTACGAGGCACTAATCACCGGATTCAACCTAGCGAAGGAGATGGGAGCAAAACACCTCGTCGTATGCAGCGATTCCCAGTTGGTGGTCAACTAGGTTAACGGTACTTACGAGGCTCGTGACCAGACAATGGCAGCATACTTAGTTAAGGTCAGAGCGATTCTGCCGAACTTTGACTCTTGCTTCCTCAGGCAGATATTGAGATCCGGGAAGGCTGAGGATGATGCACTATCTCGATTGACCAGTACCAGTGACACCACAAAGCGAACAATATATATCTAAGACCTGCCTCACCCTAGCATTC